CAGAGACTTTCCGAGGGGACTTGAGGAACCTGCTCCGCTACTACAACCAGAGCGAGGCAGGTGAGTGACCCCGGCCTGGGGCGCGGGTCAGGACCACTCCCCATCCCCCACGGACGGCCCGAGTTCCCCGGAGTCTCTGGGTCTGAGATCAACCCCGAGGCTGCGGGACCCCCCCAGACCCAGGATCCAGGAGAGCCCCAGGCGCCTTTACCCGGTTTCATTTTCAGTTTAGGCCACAATCCCCGCAGGTTGGTCGGGGCGGGGACGGGAATCGGTGGGGAGGCCTGACCGCGGGGGCGGGGCCAGGGTCTCACACCTTCCAGTGGATGTACGGCTGCGACCTTGGGCCCGACGGGCGCCTCCTCCGCGGGTACCGGCAGTTCGCCTACGACGGCAGGGATTACATTGCCCTGAACGAGGACCTGCGCTCCTGGACCGCCGCAGACACGACGGCTCAGATAACGCAGCGCAAGTGGGAGGCGGCCCGTGCGGCGGAGAAGCTGAGAGCCTACCTGGAGGGCGAGTGCCTGGAGTGGCTCCGTAGATACCTGGAGAACGGGAAGGAGACGCTGCAGCACGCGGGTACCAGAGGCAGTGGGGAGTCTTCCACATCTCCTATAGATTTCCCGGGGTGGCCTCCTAGGAGGAGGGGAGGAAAATGGGATCAGCGCTAGAATGTCGCCCTCCCTTGAATGGAGAATGGCATAAGTTTTCCAGAGTTTCCTCTGAGGGTACCCTCTACTCTCTAGGACAATTAAGGCATGAAATCTCTGAGGAAGTACCCTTTTGACCCCGGCAGCAGCCTTGGGCCCCTTGACTTTTTCTCTCAGGCCTTATTCTCTGCCTCACACTCAATGTGTTTGAAGGTCTGATTCCAACTTTTCTCAGTCCCTCGGCCTCTACTCAGGTCAGAACCAGAAATCGTTGTTCTCCCCTCAGAGACTAGAACTTTCCAAGGAATAGGAGATTATCCCAGGTGCCTGTGTCCAGGCTGATGTCTGGCTTCTGTGCTCCCTTCCCCACCCCAGGTTTCCTGTCCATTCTCAGGATGGTCACATGGGTGCTGCTGGAGTGTCCCATGAGAGATGCAAAGTGCCTGAATTTTCTGACTTTTCCCGTCAGACCCCCCAAAGACACACGTGACCCACCACCCCGTCTCTGACCATGAGGCCACCCTGAGGTGCTGGGCCCTGGGCTTCTACCCTGCGGAGATCACACT